ATAAGCTGCACCTGCCCAGGGGTAAAGTGGCCCCAGCAACGCCGGTCTGTCGAGAGGTCTGTCCTTGCTTCCCTTCGTATCGACGCGCGAGGACGCAGGTGCCCACAGCGTCCGTCCTTCAGGAGACAGCACCCCTGGCACCGCTACGCGCCCCATCCCTGCCCGGCAGACAGCACCGTGCCAACCTCTGCCTCTCAAAATGGGCATCGCCCCCGCTTTCTGCCAGCTCGGGCTTGCTTGGGGGCTGCAGCCCCGCGGGCCTGCCGTTCTGCAGTTCCTGCAGAAAAAAGTTCGTCGCTTGTTTCCTCGCAGGTGTTCGAGAAAAAGGGCCTTCCAGATTACCAAGTCCTTTCTGCCTATCCTGGAGTGGCTGGGCCAAAAAAGAGTGCCTGGTCGGCGATGTCATCTCGGGGGTCCGCACCGGCCTCGTCGCCACCTTGCAAGGTAAAGCCAGGCACACGCCGGCCCTCCGCTCTCGAGGAGGCTTCCATACGGGAGCCGGCTGAATGCAGGGATGTTATGCAGATGGAATTACAAATCTGAGACTTGTTATTTAATACTAGATATTAGGTATTATTTTTCAATAAATAATTGATGGTTTTAATTTATTCCCTTTTTTTTTTCTGCTTGGCTAGAAGATTTAAATTTCCTTTGATGTGCTACCAAGATGTAGTTAACTTTTTTCCAAGCCTTTTACTCAGAGTACTCATTTTGATACTTAAAATTTTAATTACATTGTGATAGATCAGATAGGTCACATGGTCTTCTTTCTTTCTTGGTTATATGAGCCTATAGCTCTCCTGCAGCTGCCTACAAAAATCTAGTTATTGCCCCAAAATAGTGCAAAGTTGATATCTACTCTCCTTTAAAATTTGGCCCATGAAATTGTTCAGGTAGCTGCAGAATACAACCTCCAAGGAGGTGGTGGCACATTCACATTACAAAAAAATTATAGACTAGATGGATACTTACAGTACATGGCTTCCATTGTTAAGTTTTTCTTAATTGCTTATTCCATTTATTAGGAAAGCATTTAGTGGATAAACAAATAGAAATAAGCCGAAATAAGCATAAATGAATTAAAATAAGCTAGTTAAGGAAGACTGAAAAGGCAGAACCGTTCTGCCTGAGGCAGCTGATAAGGTCTACTTTCAAAGACAAGACTAGCTATAACCCTGATGCGATCCAGCACATTCATTTCTTTCATCTCAGTAGTGTTCTTACACTCTTTTCACAATTTTTCAGGGCTCGGGGGGGTTAAGCTAGCTGGGTCAACCCCACATTTTTCCTCAGTGGAAATTAAGTGTTTGCACAAGGGGGCAAAGATGCACATTGGGAACAAAGCAAGCAGCTTAGGCATTCCTAATTAGCCACAAGTATTCCCTACTGCCTGTTCCCTAGGAGCGAGTTAGGGAGGCACAGGCTGGCAGAAAAAAAGCATTACAAACTTCTGCCCCAGGCAGAGGGTGACCTGAGGAATAATGAAGATGTGTCCACAGCCTGCAGAGAGTCTGTCTCAGAGCTGGAAGATATCTGCTGAAGGTAGTGCCACAATTACAGGATTCCCCTGCCTTTTCAAAATGAACTGGGCTAGATGGGCTTTTCATATGGCTTACCACAGCTATTATGCTCTTACTGTAACGCCCTCGTTTATTTTTTTTTTACAGTGGGGCCTGATTTTCTCACAACTGGATTCCACTTGTAAAACTGATTTCTGAAATACACTGTTTGGTCTCCCACCTATGTATTAAAAAAAAAAAGCAATAATAATAATAAAATCAATGAATTAGTGCAAATCTAAATCTAGCTGCAATTTAAAAAAAAATACAATAATTCTGAAATTCTAAATCATGCAATATGGGGAAAATTGGCCAAAAAGTTTGCCAAAAAAGAGGCTTCTGGGATCTTGAAGTTCCTGCAGTCCCTAACTCCCAGCAACTGTGTGTGTTGCTTGAAGTCTTCCTACCAGTCACAGTAGTATGACCAGGACTTCAATTGTTTTGAGCTGTGATAGGTTTTTGTGGTATCTTTGAAGGAGAATTCTATGGCCTGCGGTGGGACCTAACTGAGATATGATACTGGATGAAATGTCTTTCTTTTTTTTTTTTCCCTCATTGTTGGATTTGACAGCTTGAACAGGTATAAAAAGGAAGACAATGATAAGGATCAAAGCTCTCACATTTGTGTGATTTACTTTTGGGTTTTAAGTTTATAAGCTGATACTGAAAAAAAAAGGCCTGATTTTCAGATGGGCTGAACATACCGAAGCATATTTATAGTGCAGTAATTCAGAGTTTGTGCTTAAAATTTCTGTCTGTAACTAGAACACTTCACATATCCCTCTTGTCTCTCAAGGGACAGACCATTCACTCTTGCAACAGTGTTCCCCAATTAAATTTCACATCTGAGCCTACGTTTTGTGCTACGTATACAAATACAGGAACATTTCTCAGTACTTACTCATCCAACTAGCAGTGTGGGATATACAATCGTTTACAGTCATTGATACGTATGTGCCTGCAACCGATTTACAGACAAAATTTACAGTCATTGATACTCACGTATGTGCCTGCAACCGATTTACAGACAAAACACATTTAAATTGTATCTGGACAAAAGGAGTAAATCTTTCTGAATGTCTGTTCTAGACAAGATAGTAGTTTGTTGGGAGATTTTAAATCTGACATTTTGATGATCTATCATTTCAGGTTTGGCATATGCTTTGCTGGTTGCAGTTCCTGTTGGATATGGTCTCTATTCTGCCTTTTTTCCCATCCTGACATACTTTTTCCTGGGAACATCAAGGCACATCTCAGTTGGTAACTGCATGTGTTCAAGTTATAGTGAATGATCCATTACAAAGTGTTAACCCTTACCGTGAAAATTCATATTTCATACCTGAGAACTACTTCTGAACAAAACTGGTTGTGTTGAATATTCATATGGGCGGGTTTGGGGGACTTAAGGCTTATTTCTTCTCTGTACAGGCAATTGTGAATAATAACTAACTTCAGTTGGGCCCATGTATGCTTTTTGCTTGCATTTATGCTGAAGTTTAAATCTTTTCTTTGGCTACACCGTATGCAAGAAATTACAAGATCAAGGCCTCAGTAGGCAGTATGAACAGACTGTTTGTCTGTCAGCTAAAGCTCAAGATGGCTGAAACAGAGCTCTTAGTCTTCTCTACAAGCATTCCTTGCTGCATCCTTTTTTGATCACTGTGGACAACATCCTCTTCTTGCCTGTCGCGGAGACCCAGAACCTGTGTGTCCACTCCAGCCTCGTTCTAGGTCCTCACATCAAGGCTATGGGTAAACCTTGTTCATTCTTTCTGAATACTTCCTTTAAAATACGGGGTTCTCACATTTAAAAATCATGTTACAGCTCGATCACTGAAGTTTCTTTTTTTCTCATTCTAACCAATACAGTCATTCCTTGTTCATATCTACTAAGACTAGATTGTTTTCCCCTCCCAAAGCTTTGGGAGCATGATACTATGCTTTTTCATCAACTTTCTTCTCTGCTGCATCAAATACTTCTGTATGTTCTATCTACTTCGTTAGTCTCTTCCTACCCTACCTATCATCGCACATTTTCTATCCAGGTCTGAGTTGTCACTTCTACTTATGCTGACATTCCTTCTTTATAGATTATCAAACTCTCCTTTTTATGCTTTATCCAATACTCTTATTCACAAAGTGTCCTCTAAGGTGTCTGTAAAATTAACTTATCCTTCTTTAAGACATTTTGTGACATTTTTCTTTTCTGCATAATTTTAGTAAATAACTGCAACAAAATGCGATTACTTTTAGATTGTGTATTGCTGATACAGTGATCACTTACTCTCTCTGTATCTTGCCCAAAGTATAGTTTCAGTCATCTTCAGCCAATGTAATACCACACTACTGCCAAAAGGTGTGGTCCTACGCCTTGGTGCGTGTTCCTGCCACCACCGTGATGTGATTCCTGACCATGCAGCTATGTGGCAATCTGGATCAGCTGAAAACTAACTGTTATAAAATTAAAAAATAAAAATCTTTAAAATGTTGCTTTCAGCTGGATCAGTGATCTGTTTTGTCTGGTTGTGGTGTTGATGCAAGGGAGATTGTTGGAATATGTTGCCCCTTTTGGCCTTGGTACAGTCCTAAATTGGCTTAAGCAAGCAGGAAACTGCATCTGTATGTACAACGTAACTTATTTAAGGAAGGAATTGTATCTTTGTGTCATGTTTGCAGTGCCTGTGGCTCCTGGCCCCCTAATACTACTAATGTACCCCAGTTAAAATATTAAATGGATTTTCTGATTTAGAATTTGCTTGTCAAGTCTGATAAATGCTTCTTGTTGATGTATATTAGACTTTGGTGTGTTCTGTTTGTCATTACAGGTCCATTCCCTGTAGTCAGTTTGATGGTGGGATCTGTTGTATTGAGCATGGCCCCTGATGATAATTTTCTCATAGATGGAAGTAATGCTACAGGGACTAATGGTACTGGGACACTGATAGACACTGAATCCAGAGATGCACAGAGAGTGCTGATTGCTAGTACCCTCACATTTCTGGTTGGGATTTTACAGGTAAAATAGCTGGCTTGAAGAGACAAGGTTGATATTGCTTTAATTTTAATGGGAAAACATACGGCATGGAAATACCTACTAGGGCAGTGAGACATTTTCCTGTAGTAAAACACAAAAATGAAGGAAAGTCATCTCAAACTCTGAAGAGCTTTTGGGGGATTATTCTTCTTATCCTGGGCAGAGTCTGTGGCAGCATGACTGGGAGCGCAGACAACAGAAGAATAGCCCTGTGATTGCAGACCAAGAGACCTGCATGAAACTAAGTGCTAATGGTGCATATCCTGGAGCATCCTTTCACACATTTCTTCAGGTCTCCTTTATTTCCTTGGATGGCATGATATTAAGCTGCACTAGGCTGCAGTGGGGGAAGATGGTCCTAAGACTCTGTATCAACAAAGAGAAAAGAACAAAGCATGAGAAATCACCAAAGAAAAGTGTACCTTTTTGTTGTTTAGCAAGCTGTTATTCTTCATGATTTTTCCAGGTAATATTTGGAGTCCTTCAGATTGGTTTCATTGTGAGGTACCTTGCAGATCCACTAGTTGGGGGATTCACAACTGCAGCTGCTTTTCAAGTGCTTGTGTCACAATTGAAAATAGTGCTAAATATTTCAACTAAAAACTATAATGGTGTCCTTTCCATAATATATGTAAGTATGCCCTTCTGATCTGCTTTGGTTTTATGCCAGAATTTTTATGTAATTGTTTATCTTCTGCTTCCATTTCGTACAGGAATGGTTCATATATATATATGGTGGTAAGTATAGAGCACTCATTTAGTTCTCACCCCCATGAAGATCTGCAGCTGTTCATTTATAGCTGTGGGGCTCCAAGTAGCTGCTTTCCTAGTTCCCCAGACCATGAAAGTCTAATTGCCATTGAAGTCTAATTGAAGTCTTTTTCAGGCAGAGCAGTTTTTCACATAAAGTTTAAATGTAATTATCCAGCAAAACAGTTTTTCTTCTCTAGGTTGTAATTTCTGGGGTTTACTTTCTGTCCCACCCCTTACTTTCTGGCTGTTTGTGAAGAACATTTCTTAACACTGCCAGGTCATCTCCCAAAGCTGACTGGTGCCAAGCCTCTTTACTCTTAAACCAGCAGGTCATTCTGGTAAAGGGCATCATTCTCCATTCCACACTGTAGCCATGCTTGTGAATACCTAAAGAAGGATGTTGATTCCCACTCTGCAGCCAGGTACATACTGGTTAGATAAGGTGAGGCTAAAGTGTTGCTGTCACAGCTCCATTTGTTGATCTTAGAGAAAACGATCACATGGAGAAATGTCTTGGCTGGATTACAGAAATACTGAATTCCTAGAGGTCTCATATTACGGAATAGTCTCCTTCCCCAGGAAAATTATTGAGTTTTGTCACTGACTTCAGAATGAAACTGTCCAGGTTCATAGTATTTTAGATCTTCCATAGCACTTCACATTAGAATAACAGATTTCTAAAAGAGGCTGTTCTAGACCAAAAAAAAGTATTTACAGATTTTACATGCCAGTTCAGGCAACCAGACTAGAAAAAATATATAGGCATCTAGATCCAAAAATAGGATGACTATAACTACAAACAGCAAGGTAAAATTTAGTAAAAAAATATCTGGTGGACTAGTTGAAAAAAAAAAAGTATTATGTCATGGGTCTTTTCAGAATTAATGAAAACTCTTTA